GCCTTCTGCTGTCTTGGGCTCCCGATGTAGGCCTCGTGTCGCTCTCTTCGGGATATTTTGGGCCGTCTCGAAGCATTGTGGGGCTCTCTTGGGGGCCTGTGGGGCTCATGTGGGGTCCATGTGGGGGGGGGGTGTCGGTGACATGCCGGGTTTTTCCTTGTAATTTGATAGGCAGAAAGAATTATATATTATATATATATATATATATATATACATACATGTAATTACATCAATACATGAATACATAAATAGATATCGGAGTAGGCCGGGGGGGGGGGCCTGGGCCGGTGCCGTACCCCCCATGGGGGGAATTGGGGGGTCCCAGGGCTCCCGGGACGGCCCGGGCCCGCTACCAAACACGCATAAGACAGGCTCAAGAGGCCCTAGACGCCGAAGATGGCCTCAGGACGGCCGATGACGCCGTCAAAACGCCCCAAGAGCGCCTCCAGAGGCCCCTCCAAGGGTTCCAAAAGCCGAACATCATCCATTTCCGATGGTTTTTGAAGCATTTTTGCGCTCTCGCATGTTCCGCCTCCCCACGGTCCCGGACGGCGTCAGAGGCCCTTCAGATCGCTCCAAGACGGCCGAATAGGCTCCCAAGAAAGCGCAGAGACAGCCCAGGAGGCTCCCCAGATAATTCAAGAGGGCCTCGAGAGCGCCACAAGAGAGCCCCAAGAGCGACCCAAGAGGGCCCGAAGAGCGCGACATTTCAAGGTTTCTGGCCTGTGAGGCTCCTAGGATGCCCCTGGAGGCCATCAAGAAGCTTCCAAGAAGCCCCGCGAGGCTCCCAAGAGGCCCCCCGGAAGCCCCAATAGGCCCCCAAGGGGCCCTCAGGGAAGCCCCATGCGGGCCCCCAAGACACCTTGGTAATTCGTATTCCTCAGATAGCTTTCCGGGAAAATGATTTCTTGGGCTTCCGCCCACCGCCCCAACCATGTTTCCAATAGGCTTGCCGACAAGGCCAAAAGGGGCCCCTCGGTAAGCTCCCAGAGGCCCCCCTCTTAAGAGAGCCGAACAAATCATGCTCCCGGAAAGCCTCCCGGGAACATGATTCTCGGGTTGCCGCCCTCTGCCCATACCATGTTCCCTAAACGCCTGCCAAGAAAAAAACCGAGAGCCCCAAGCAACGCTACCTGCCGCCACGCTCGGAAACGCGTCAGGCCCCGAAGCCTCCGGAGGCGCCCAACGACACCCCAACAAATCATGTTCCCAGGAAGCCTTCCGGGAACATAATTCCTCAGGCTTCCGCCCCGGCCCCAACCATGCGTACCAAAATGCTTGCCGGGCAGCCCCCCAATGGGCCTTCATACGCGCCATGATGTTACCAGAAAGCTCTCCGATAACATGATTCCTAAGGCTTCCGCTCCCCGCGCACAACATCTGTTCCAAAGCGCCTGTCAAGCAGGACTCGAATGAGCCCTCAAGTACTTCCCTAGAAGCCCCACAAGATGCTGATGATGACGATGATGATGATGACGAAGGTGACGATGATGATGGTGATGGTGATCGTTATGGTTGCGATGATGCTGACGACGATATCCACGATATCGAGGGGGATGGCGATGAGGATGGCGATGGTGACGGTTACGAGGATCCTAGCTAGAACGTGAGCGCCCGCGAAGCGCGCGCGATGTTTGTAGTGTGTAGATGTATATGTATATACATATATGTGTTTATGTGTATGTATATGTATATGTATACATTCATACATATATATATATGTATATATGTATGCATCTATATACACATTTACACATATATATATATATATATATATATATTGCCCGGACCCCCCCCAAATCGCACCTCCCGAATCCGGGGCCCCTGGGACCCTCTGGACCTCCTGGATCCGTGGCCCCGGGGACCCCCTGGACGCCCCTGCAGGATGCCCCCCGCGCGTTTCAGTGCTTCTGGAAGCCCTTGCTGGGCCTAGGCAACGGGCCCAAATCGGTTCAGGAGGGCGGCCGAACGCCCCCCCGAGGGCCCCAATAGGCCCCAGACACCCACTAGACGCCCGAAGACGACCCAAAGAAGACCTCCACGAGGCTTCTGAAACGAAGTAAACATTAATTGTCTACGGTTTGTTGCATGATTTTGGGAATGCTGTGTTCTTCGGTCTTTTGGGCGTCCGAGACCGCCTGGGGGGTCGAAAATCGCAAGAAAACTATCCGAAAGGGCTTCCACGCAGTCCAAAAGAGCCCCAAGACGGCACAACCGGGTTCCAAGATGGCCTAAGAGAGCTCCATGACGGCCCAAGATGGCCCCACGACGCCCCCCGAAGTATTCCAAATCGTGACCTTGTCGTTCAGGGAGACCGCGGTTGGAGGCAGGGTGGCCCGAGGAAGTTCCCAGAGGCCCCTAAAGAAAGCTTGAAACAGATTCCGTGAGGCCCCCAGAGGCCCTCCAAGGAGGAGCCTCCGCAAAAAGAGCTGATGAGGATGGGGGAAAATTCGAAGGTAAGGCGAAAAGGAGGAAAAAGAAACATGGAGGAAGGATGCCGAAAAGCAGTATTAGAACGGCGATGCCTGAAACGGCAACAGGGAGTTATCGCTAAACTGTCTGTTTGACCTTCCTGCCATTCCGCTAGCATACCAAAAATCAAGGACCAATGTGCGTGGCGCGAAGCGCCAATGTAATCTTGTTTCCAAAAATATATGTGATGTGCCGAGGTGCCCTCAGGCGAAACACGGGTTTCGACGAAGCGCTTGAGGAGGGATAGCTGGGGATTCGTTGGGGATGTTTCGATCGAAGCGGCTGTTTTTACATGGGTTCCTTTCGGCCGTGCGCTCAAACCATGTGGTTTTACATGGGTTCCTGTCGGCCGTGAGCCCAAGCCCTGTGTATTTACACGGGTTATGTTCGCTGGTGGGCCGACGCCATATTTTTACATGGGTTTCTTTTGCCCGTGAGCTCAAGCCATGTGTTTTACATGGGTTCCTGTCGGCCGTGGGCCGAAAACCTGTGTATTTACATTGGTTCCTTTCGCCAGTCCGCTCAAGCCATGTGTTTTACATTGGTTCGTTTCGCCCGTCCGCCAAGACCATGTGTTTTTTCATCGTTTCCTCTCGCCCGTCGGCCGAAACCATGTGTTTTTACATGGGTTCCTTTCGCTCGTGAGCACAACCCTAGGAAGCTCCAGGAGGCCCCAGGAGGCCCCAGGAGGCTCCAAGATGCCCAGGAGGCCCCAGGAGGCCTCAGGAGGCCCCAGGAAGGCCCAGGAGACCCAAGGATAGCCCAGGAGGTCCCAGGACTTAAACTGTTTGTTTTTTACACTGGTTCTGTTCGCCCGTGAGCTCAAACCATGTGTTTTTGCATGGGTTCTTGCCGTCCTTGAGCCAAAACCATGTGTTTAGATATGGGCTCCGTTCGCCAGTGGGCCGAAACCATGCGTTCTTACACGGGTTCCTGTCGCCCGTGAGCTCAAACCGTGTGTGTGTGTGCTTTTGCTACATGGGTTCTGCGAATCCGACCGCGAGAGTATTAGAGCACGAACCTGTTTTGCCTGCCTCGCCGATGGCCTGATGGGGCCCGCGCTCTCCGCGCGGGGCCTGTCAAAGCCAGAAGGTGTCTGCGGGATGCAGCCTCGAACACGCGCTGCTTAGGCGCAGGGGACCTTTGGTGGGCCCCTCAGAGGGGGAGCTCCATGGAGGACCACGTTCGCACTGGTCTCAAGTATTTTAGTGCTCCTCACTCGCTTAGCGCTCCATCGTTCAGTCACGGCTCTCGTCAAAGGCGGGCCCACTTCGCCAGCCTGGGCCGGCATCGCGGGCACGAGCTCTTCGTTGATCCTGTCCAGAAGGCGGTCCTGCATGACGGGATAGCACTGCGGCTCAAACGCTACGTTTGAGATGGCGGACTCGATGATGTCGTAGTACGCCTCGTCGTCAGGCAAACTATTATTGTCGCACTTTTTCTCCGACGTCGTCTTCTTCTTGGCCCTCTCGACTTTGCTGCGGAAGAACTCGATCGCTGGCGACTTGATCGGAAACTCCAGCATGTGGTCCTCTCAGCCCTGCCACTCGGTGTACAGGCTCTCCAGGTGCACCAGCTTCTCCTTCGCCTCATCCTCCAACTACGTGGTCGTCATCACCTGGATGTTCCCGGTGTTGCTCACGTATTAGCATCACTGCTGTGTTGCCCGCTCGTGCTGCGGCTTGGTGCAGGGTCGATTTCGCCAGCGCCTTTATCTTGACCCGTGCCGCCGCCTACACGTGCGTCGATTGCTCGGGAAACAGGTCCGTTAAGCCAAGCATGAACACCCTTGCCTGCTCGTCCGAGTTCCCTGGTTTGTCCCCTGGCGCTTCCCCTGCCCGTTCCGTGGCGCGTCCCTTGCCACGTCCCCTGACGTGTCCACTGGCGCATCCCTTAGCACGCCCCTGGCACATCCAGTGGCGCGTCCATGCGCCCTGCGTCTCGTGTCGCCTCGTCCGGCTTCGGAGCAGTGTTGGGTCTTGAGCTCGAGATGATTGGGCGTCCCACATTTTTCGACTGCAGCCAGTTCTGGTCCAGCTATGCTCTCAGGCAGCGCGAGATTAAGATTCAGATCAGTTCGGTCAGGATTCGGATGCCAAGGACGTCTTGATCCACAACGCTATAGAGCACAATGAAATTCATCGCGGCATGACATCTCATTTCAGCACGGCGCAGCACAGCACAACCCGTGGCACGCTGCATCACGATCGATGCCTTCAGCATTGCAATTGACCGTCGCCTGCTCAGGTGTCTTGAAGCCTTGCCATGCGCTGCATTTCAATATTCCTTTCCGGGTTCGTGGGTCGATCATGTTTTCGCATGGGCGGAGTTGGGGGTTGCCCCCCCCCCAGCCCGGATCCTTTCGGGCGTTGTCTTGTCCCGTTCCCATCCACCTCCGGTTCCTACTCCGCATCCGCGTCCTCATCCTCATCCTGCTCCTCCTCTTCCCCTTCCCTCTCCCCCTCCTCCCCAGCCCCCCCCTCTCCTCACCATCCGCATCCTCAACCGCTTGTTTCTTCCCCTTACAGGATGCTCGTGCGTGCACGCGGGCTGGGCCGGAGCGGCGGCTGCCCGCGGGCCGCGCACGCTGCGGGCCGCCTTGTCCTGCGACGTGCCCACGTGCGAGCGCCTGCGGCAGCGGTGGCAGCGGCGTCCCATCTGTGGAGGCGCGACGTCGTCGTCGTCGTCGTCGTCGTCGTCGTCGTCGTCGTCGTCGTCGTCGTCGTCTTCGTCCTCGTCGTCGTCGTCGTAATCGTCGTTTTCTTCCTCCTCCTCGTCTTACTCTTCCTCCTCTTCACCTTCTCTCCCTATCATCCTCCCCCTCGCCAGTCTCGGTGACAAGGCAAACTTGGAAATCCAGCTAGCAACTGGGAAACCCAGCCTCGAACAGGAAGATTGTCCTCGGCCCAACGAATTTTTCTTGGAAAGGACGTAGGACAAGGTTGTCCATCTTTTAGCTGTTTACCCCCGGGTCTTACTTGAGGTGGTCTGGCGAAATCATTTGCGATAAATGGCGTTTTTGTTGTTGTTGGTGTTGTTGCTGCTGCTGCTGTTGCTGTTGCTGTTGCTGTTGCTGTTGCTGTTGCTGCTGCTGCTGCTGTTGGTGTTGTTGTTGTTGTTGTTGTTGTTGTTGTTGTTGTTGTTGTTGTTGTTTTGCGGATTTGTAGGAAACCCAACACTTTTTAATCATTTCTGTCAAACGGGCTTTTGCGAGCAACTTTTTCGATCTTCTGCAACAACGGTTGCGCACCTGCCAGGGCCATCATCCCTGTCAAATAATACCATGCGGGACACATTCGTTTTTTCTTCGCGCGCGCACGCCGTCGTCGTCGGCCGCGGGGCCCTGAATAGTAGCCACGGTCGTCCGCATGCCACGAAGTGAAGTGTCCGAACGTCATAGGGCGGGAAGCTGGGTGTGGGTGGTGGCGAAGAGTCGTTTGGAAATTTGGTAGAGCTTGAACCGGCCCCCCCACAAAGTGGGGGTATTGCCCGCCTCCTATGAAAACCCTGGCACTGGTGAGAACGGAGTGTCCCCACGTGCTAGTAATTGTTGTTGTTGTTGTTGTTGTTGTTGTTGTTGTTGTTGTTGTTGTTGTTGTTGTTGTTGAACATTATTAATTCTAAAGAATAATTATTGTTGGGCCCCCTGGTGCACGCCCCCCCTGCGCCGCCTAGGCCGCAGCTACATTTTCATCATTTTCGTGAGGAAGCCTCAGGTAATTCGATGTGATCAAGATCCGGTTGTTTTGTTCCCCCCCGCTTTCCCTTGCAAAAAACACTATAAAATGACATTTCTTGTTCTAATATAATCAAATTTCAAGAATCCCTTGCAAAAAATAAGGTAAAGTGGACATTCGCGCGCGCAAGACGAAATCCTTCCAAAAGCTTAGTGTTCGGAGCGATTTTAACATAAAAACATCAAAAAACCAATGGTTTTTCAACAAAAAAATGTCAAAATCTCATCCCGCGCGCTCTTGCGGATTCGTAGGAAACCCAACACTTTTTAAACATTTCTGTCAAACGGGCTTTTGCGAGCAACTTTTTCGAACTTCTGCGACAACGGTTGCGCACCTGCCAGGGCCATCATCCCTGTCAAATAATACCATGCGGGACACATTCGTTTTTTCTTCGCGCGCGCACGCCGAAATCTCCAAAAACCATTGGGTTCTGTGGGTGTGTACCCCACGCCAGTGTAGTAGCCACGGTCGTCCGCACGCCACGAAGTGAAGTGTCCCAACGTCATAGGGCGGGAAGCTGGGTTTGGGTGGTCGCGAAGAGTCGTTTGGATATTTGGTAGAGCTTGTAATGCCCCCCCACGAAGTGGGGGTATTGCCTGGTGTCGTATGAAAACCCTGGCACTGGGGAGAACACCACGCGTTCGGGTAAAATGATTGTTGTTGTTGTTGTTGTTGTTGTTGTTGTTGTTGTTGTTGTTGTTGTTGTTGTTGAATATTGATTAGTAAACAGTTATTTTTGTTGGACCCCTTAAAGGCGCTCTGGCGCTCTCGCCGAGGCGCCGGCTGCATTGTCACTGAAAATGAGGTTCACGCTCGAGCGTTTGGGGGGACCGCCAAAACCGGCCCCCCAACAACAACAACGCTCCCGGTTGAGACTTCCTCCTTTTTTACTCAGGGCCGGTGCTCTTGCTCGCCGCCGAAAGCAGCCGTCTCAACAAAACCAGCGCTCCCGCTCGAGACTTCATCCCGTTTTACCTTGGACAGGCGCGCTACTCGTTCTCTCATCGGCGCCGCCCCCCAGCAACCACGCTCCCGCTCGAGACTTCCTCCCTCTTTTACTAAAGGCGGTGCTCTTGCTCGCCGCCGACAGCCGCCGTCCCGACAAAACCAGCGCTCCCTCCCGAGACTTCCTCCCGTTTTACGCTGGGTGCTATCGTTTGAATTGGCGCCGCTCCAAGCAAGAACAACGCTGCCGCTCGAGGCTTCCTCCTTTGTTCCACAGGACGGTGGTATTCCTCGCCGCCGACAGCCCCCGTCCCGACAAACCATGGCTCCCGCACGAGACTTTCTTCCTTCTTACTCAAGGCGGTGTTCTTCTTCGCCGCCGACAACCGCCGTCCCAACAAAACCAGCGTTCCCGCTCGAGACTTCGTTTTGTGTTATGCTGGACTAGCGCCCTACTCTCTTCAGCATTGGCGCCGCTCCCAGCAACAACAGCGGCCCTGCTCGAGACTTCCTCCGTTTCTATTCAGGGCCAGGTCCTTGCCTCGCTGCCCACAGCCCCCATCCCCACCCAGGCAATCCTGTCGCTCGATACTTCCTTGTGCTTTACCCTTGGCTGGGGCCCAACTGGCGGTCTCGCATCGGCGCAGCAAGGCGCGGGCATGCGTTTTCGTGGCGGGATATGTTGAAGTTCCTCGGAGGAGATTTTTGCTAGACCTCATTTGGCGGGAGATCTGGGAATGGGAATATCGGACCCCGCTGTAGAACAATAGTGACCCATGATGGGGATGCTCATCAGGACGGTCGCATGCTTCGTGTGGAAACATCGCGCATGAGGGTAAAATGATTGTTGTCGTTGTCGTTGTCGTTGTCGTTGTCGTTGTCGATGTCGTTGTCGTTGTCGTTGTCGTTGTCGTCGTTGTTGAACATTATTTATTCTAAAGAATAATTATTGTTGGGCCCCCTGGTGCGCGCCCCCCCTGCGCCGCCTAGGCCGCAGCTACATTTTCATCATTTTCGTGAGGAAGCCTCAGGTAAAACGATGTGATCCAGATCCGGTTGTTTTGTTGTAATCCGTTTTCCCTTGCAAAAAACACTATAAAATGACATTTCTTGTTCTAATATAATCAAATTTCAAGAATCCCTTGCAAAAAATAAGGTAAAGTGGACATTCGCGCGCGCAAGACGAAATCCTTCCAAAATCTTGCGGATTCGTAGGAAACCCAACACTTTTTAAACATTTCTGTCAAACGGGCTTTTGCGAGCAACTTTTTCGAACTTCTGCGACAACGGTTGCGCACCTGCCAGGGCCATCATCCCTGTCAAATAATACCATGCGGGACACATTCGTTTTTTCTTCGCGCGCGCACGCCGAAATCTCCAAAAACCATTGGGTTCTTAAGAATTTTAGCACCGCGCATCATAAAATCACACGAATCGCACCGTAGGTCCTCGAAAAACACCTGCACGACTTTTCAAAATTTCTACCCGCGCGCGCTGTCCGAATCCTAAAAAAACCAATGGTTTTCCAACATTTATGTTACATGAGCTCGCGCGAGCTACTTTCGCACGCTCTTGCAACGGGGTTCGCGCGCCTGCCAGGGGCCATAATCCCTTGCGGTTGCGCCATAGGTTGCGCCCTCGGCCGCCGAGAATAAAACGCCCCCCTATTGGTTGCGCCATAGGTTGCGCCCTCGGCCGCCGAGAATAAAACGTCCCCCTACTGGTTGCGCCATAGGTTGCCCCAGGAGGCCTTCAAGAGGCCCCAAGAGCCCGCCGTGAGGACCCAATAAGCCCCCAAGAGGCCCCAAGATGCTTCCAAGAAGCCCCCCAAAGCCCCTCAAGAGGACCCCAAGCGGCGCCAGGAGGCTTCCCCCCTTCCCCAAGAGGACCCCAAGCGGCCCCAGGAAGCCTCCGACTGATCACTGTCACATCCGTAGCCATCTCGGATCAAGGTATCGCCTGTGTTCTTGGATGGGTCATGGCTTTGTCGGCGAAAGCCCTTGACGACCAGTATGGCCCAGAGCTGTCGCGGCCTCCCTTGGCCGACTGCGAGAGCCCGTATTATTTGCATCAGGCGCTCGTTGCAAAGGGTATCCAGGTCAGTGTAGTAGCCAAGGTCGTCCGCAGGCCACGAAGTGAAGTGTCCGAACGTCATAGGGCGGGAAGCTGGGTGTGGGTGGTGGCGAAGAGTCGTTTGGAAATTTGGTAGAGCTTGAACCGGCCCCCCCACAAAGTGGGGGTATTGCCCGCCTCCTATGAAAACCCTGGCACTGGTGAGAACGGAGTGTCCCCAGTGCTAGTATGATTGTTGTTGTTGTTGTTGTTGTTGTTGTTGTTGTTGTTGTTGTTGTTGTTGTTGTTGTTGTTGTTGTTGTTGTTGTTGTTGTTGTTGTTGTTGTTGTTGTTTGTTGTTGTTGTTGTTGTTGTTGTTGTTGTTGTTGTTGTTGTTGTTGTTGTTGTTTAATTCATATTTCTGAAGAATAGTTATGGTTGATCCCCCCCACCGGTGCATATTGTTTTTCTCAATCAAAATGTGCCCCTCGACGCTCGCACCTTGTTTTTTGACAGGGAAAGTCTTCCTGCTCAAACTGGCCCCCTGGCCCCCGGGTTACAACAACAACGGCTCCCGCCTGAGACTCCCTTACAATTTAGGCAGGACCCCCGCTCCCGCCCGAGACTTTCTCGCATTTTATTCAGGAATCGCGCTCTCGCTTGGGACTTCCTTACAATTTATTCAGGAATCGCTCTCCCAGAGCTCTGGAGTCGCGCTCTCGCTGAAGACTTGCTTGCAACTTACTGAAGAACAGCCTCGCGTTGGAATTTCTTGCAATTTGCCCAAGCGCCGCGCTCCCGACACCCAGGCACCCAGGAATCGCGCCCGTTGTGACCCCATGTGCATGCCCTTCGTGGCCCCGCTGTCGCCATTTGTGTCCCCCTCATTGTCCTACGTGGCCCAGTTGCTACCCTCAGTTGCTCCATAGATG